GTGTGAATGTATGAGTGTATGTTTAGATAATGTAAGGTAGAATATATGTATATATAGATGAGGATAAATATTTAAACCATCACGAATCACACTCCATACCAGTAAGTGGCGGTAATGCTTCTAACAGTTTGTTGCCAACCGCCATAAATCCGACAAGAAGAAGAAGAAGAAGAAGAGACGGACCCACACTGTTAAAGCCGCCACGGGTGTTTATTTAATGACAAATTATACGTTTTGTTTGAGTTTTACTGTTGGACGTTTTAGGCCTTTATACATCGGTGGTTTTAGGCACTAGCGACCCGAAAATGAAACTCGGGGAATGATGATGATTATTGTTATTGTTTTAAATTGTCGGAACATTTTCATCAAAGCTGAAAGATGAAGAGAAATGAATCAACCGAGTTTTCTTCTGAGCGGTTTGAATATTTACAGACTCTGGTGACTGAATTTCAGGACACAGACAGTGAAGGTAAAACTAGCTTTTATCCTTTTAACATAAAAAGKAAAAGCAAAACGGAAGTTATTAAAACGAGTCCTTGAACGCATCACTAAGACAAAAACAACTTCTGATTTTAATAAGAGATTTTTTTTTCTAGAGTTCTTACAAAAATAAATGGGCGTAAATCACTTTATTAGCTCTGTGGCTCCAATCCTCTACCGTAAAACAACACTAAAAGAATTAAGACAATGAAACGAGAAAAAAGACACAAGCATACTTTTCACAATGTTTTACTGAACCGAAACAAACAGGAATGACTTTTTTTTTCTTTAAAAGGAAAACTTGAACTTAAATGGAAGAAAACAGACAACAAACAGAATAGATTTTTTTAATGATAAAATTGGGCACCAGAATAATTTAATATTTTAAAATAATCAGTCACTTCTTTTCTCTGGTTTCACAGTTTTACTGCAGTTTATTTAAATTATTGATCCAAACCAGACAGTAACATTCAGGGCAGATGCTGTGGTTTAAAGTATTTGATCTACAAACAAACCTTTTTTATTTTCTGCTTTAAAATAAAAAAGGTTTCTTTTTTATTTTATTTTTCTTAAGTCAGTCTGACTTTAAGCGCCCTCTTGTGGAGTAATTCTGCACTGCAGCTTCAGTTGCTTTTCTTCTTTATTTATTTATTTATTTATTTATTTATTTATCAGGTTTAATTGATTGTCTTTTTTTCCCCTCAGAGGCGAAGCAGCAGGTTCTGGCAAACCTCGCCAACTTTTCCTACGACCCAAAGAACACAGAGTACCTCCTGCAGCTGCAGGTGCCAGACCTTTTCCTGGACATGTTGACTGAGGAGAACGAGGACTTTGTGGAGTTTGGGATGGGTAAGTTTCAGCCTGACAGGGCTTATAAATCAGACGGTGTCTCTTTGAGGAAACCGTCAGCTGTTGCTTCGTGTCCTCAGGGGGTCTGTGTAACCTCAGCATGGACCCRGAATGCAGAGACGTCATCTTGCAGGGCGACGGCATCGCCGCAGTGACCAACTGTCTGTCCAATCGGAGGGAGGAGACGGTGCTGTCCGCCATCACCACCCTCATGAACCTCACCACGGCGGCYACGCGCTCTCGGACCACCGAGCCGGGCGTCCTGCAGTGCATGCTGCGCTTCTCYCTCGCAGAGAGCCCACGCCTGCGCAACCTGGCCTCCGTCTTCCTGCAGGACTGCTGCAGCCAGGAGCAGGTGAGGCGGGCCGAGCGGCAGATGCAGGGGCCGCAGGCGGCGGTCGGGATCCCACTGCCCAGAGACTGACGACCCCAAAGGGGCGCTTCGTGACTCGCTTCACAGGTCAGGTCAGGTCTTCAGAGGCGGAGCCAGAAACAGAACTTTAAAGCTCCGGTGACTCATCCTTTTAAATACAAAAAGTCAAAGAAAACATCTTGATAATTAACACATTATTTTACTCATTTGGACACATAACTGGTATTTTTTATTTTAAACTTGTCTCAGCATACAGGAAACAGGAAGTGACATCAAAGGGGAACTCTTTAAGAAAACTTTCTGGTCTTTATTGGAACAATATTATTTGAACTCTGACTCTTTTTTTGTTGTTGTTGTCAAAATAATCTACAGAAACATCAGATTCCTCTACACATTTTAGCAAAAAACAAAGGTTTTCATTCCCCTCTGACATCACTTCCTGTTACTTCACATGCGAATATCTCAACAGCTGTTCATCTCAGCGGCATGAAATTCATTTTGTAATATGTTCTCAGTGTTATCTGTCAAAATGCATTTGTTTTATTACAAAAAAATGTGATATCACAGGCACTTTAAATCCTCACACTGCAGCACCAAGACTAAGTTTCTGCATTTGTTTACAAGTGTAAAACAGAAGAAATGAAGTGTTTGTAAAACTGGRTGCAGATTCATTTAAGTAGAAAGAAATTATTAGGAACTTGTGTTAAAATCAGTGGAGTTTCTGTTGATCAAATATGTATTTTTAACATTTTTAACCATGAAGTTTCCCTGAGTTATTTATTTCCCAACATGGTGCAAATTGTGAAACCTAAACAAAAACAAAATTCCCATGTCCTGAAAAATTTAAAACAAATCTCAAACTATGCAAATTTAAAATAAAATAAAAAAGCTGGTTTGTTTTCAGAACTGGTTCTGGACCGAGTCCTTCAGGTCTAGACAGGACCCGACATTCGATCCTGCAGCTTCGCGTCACGCCGTCCGTTCAGGAAATTCTCCACAGCTGAGTGTGTCTGAAATACAGACTAGTTTAAAAAAATTAAACAAATAAGGTTTTAATCCAAATAAACGGCAGGAAAACAAACTTTCTTTCTTCCTGTAAAGAGAAAAACGCCCACATCTGGTTTTTATCACCTTAAGTTTATTTCAAGTTTTTTTTGTAAAAAAATTCGGTTTGAAAAGTGGACATGTGAACAAAACTCTACAACAGATTCACAGAACATGCAGAAATAAATCACATTTGGTTTATTTTTTTATCTGTTTGTAAAAAAAACATTTTTTATTTAAGTAAATCATGTTTTTGTTAAAATGAATCAATGAAGTGTTTGATTTGTTTCTTAAGTTTTTTTTTTTCTTCCAATAATCGTCGGTGTAAAGTTTCTTCAGTTTTACATTTCTTCAGAGGAAGTCTTTCATTTCCCCTCCTTCAGGCCCAGCTGCCGCTCCGCCTCCTCACGCAGTTTGTGCTTCTGGATCTGAGGAAAGTTTCACAAAAAGTAAAAATCAGTTCAGTTAAATCAAGCAGAGACTGACTGACTGACGACCAACAATTGGCTCAGTGCTTATAAAAATGAGACTGTAGGGATTTTTGTTTTGTTTACAAAGGTCAAGTAGCTGCGGCGGCCATCTTGACTGGCAGATTCTGTGTCTCTCTGAGCCACCTTGGAGTAACAAATTGTTTAATTACATCTTATTTTAGTTCTAATTTATCCTCTTTTCTTTGTCTTCATTCATTTTGGTATTTTTGGTCACCAAAGCCGGTTCAGGTTTTGGCTAATTTTTTGTCTCCACCTGTTCAGGCGCTCGTTAACTCAAACAGCCAATCAGATGGCAGCCTTTAGGTGTCAAAGGTGTTGAAGATGAGAGACAGGAAGCAGAGATCAGCTGCTCATTCTGGATCTGTTTTCCCTCCGTGTGTGTAACTGAAAATAAAATAAAATCACCTTTCCGGTAATGGTCAGCGGGTAGGTGGTCACGAAGAGGACGTAACGAGGAATCTTGAAGTGAGCGATCTGAAAGAAGAGGATYAACGTGGAGCTCAGAGGTTCGGTCGGACTCAAAGTGTCCACAGAGGACCAGCAAAGACCCCCACCTGTCCTTTGCAGAAAGCTTTGATCTCTTCGGCCGTGCACTCCTGACCCTCTGCCAGTTTGATGCAGGCGCAGACCTCCTCACCCATCCGGGGGTCCTTCACTCCGACCACCTGAGGGGCAGCGAGGAAATCCAGGGGGAAAAAACAGGAAACATGAAAGAYATTAAAACTTTTCATTAAAATTCCTAAAATTTAAATTACTGTRGATGTTTTAAAGTGCCTGTGACATCAATTTTTTATAATAAATATGAATGTATTTTTGGAAAGATAACACTGATAACATATTGTAAAAAAAGATTTCACGCCGCTGCGATGAACAGTTGTTGAGATATTCACATGTAAAGAAAAAGGAAGTGATGTCAAAGGGGAACGTCTGAATGTAAACAGCATTGATAAAATGGCTAACAACACAGATTATAGTGAAAAATCTGATGTTTCTTTAGATTATTTTAATCTCTATCATTGAGAGATGAGAGAGTCAGAGTTCAAATATTGTTTCAGTAAACAAAAAACAATTTTCTTCCTCAAAGAGTTCCTCTTTGATGTCACTTCCTGTTTCACTTTAGCTGAGCCAAATTCAAAAGAAAATATGCCAATTATGTGACATAATGTGTCAAATCATGTGCATTATGCCAAGTTTCTTAAATATAAATATATTTTCATTGACTTTTTGTATTTCATGGAAATGCACGTCACAGGCACTTTAATCAGATGAAAAATGATGGCACATTAGCAGCCGAATGTTCTGAACTTTCAGCTTATTTCAGCTGCTTTTTGCTCCACAAACATTTTTGGGGTTTTCTGCAGGAATTTGTTACTTGTAGCTGAATTTTTCTTCATTTTTTTCTATAATAAACCACAAAAATGTTCACAACTTAGGGTGTGATTTTGTTATGCCTCGACAGAAGTCTTTCTTCTCTGAAGCAGCAGGTCCAGGAGAGAAACCTAGACCCCCGCTTTACCCAGAGACCTCCTCCAGCTCCTTSTGGYGGACCCCGAGACGTTCCAAAGAGGATTTATAAACCCGCTGGGTCTCCCTTGGGGTTTTTGTAATTTTAAAGAGTTAATCTGAGATGTGAGACGTTATTTCATTTTGCTGAATGAGGAATAAAAAAGTCTGGGTGTAGTAGCCACTCCTGTCCACAGGTGGTGCTGTTTGAAGGTCACCTGTGCCTCTATCACTTTGGGGTGCGTGTGCAGAAACTGCTCGATCTCAGCGGGGTAAATGTTCTCTCCTCCTCTGATGATCATGTCTTTGCTCCGCCCATCAATCTTGCAGTAGCCGAACTCGTCCAGGCTGCCGATGTCTCTGGACAAGACAAAAAACAAACAAAAAAAAACGAGACGTTCAGGACGCTGCCTCGTTATTTAACCCCGTGTTCTCAGGTGGGACTCACCCAGTCTTGTACCAGCCTTCTTTGGTGATGGTCTCCCTGGTTTTGGTCTCGTCGGCCCAGTACTCCAGCATCACGCAGTATCCTCGGATCATGATCTCCCCCTTCTCCCCCAGAGGGACCATCTCCCCCGTGACTGGATTCACGATTTTAGCCTGAGGGTCAAAAAACAAAAACTTTAAACTAATCACGATTGTCTGAAACAAACAGAAATAATTCATTTTAACACACTTAGTTTGAGTTAGATGTTACATATTTCCCTGCTCCAACACACCTGATTCAGTCACTGAACTACCTCTTCCAAGTTCTGCAGTATGGAGGACTGACACTGACATAATTAGAAATAAAAGCAGAAATAGATAAATGAACCTTTAAATAAATAAATACATTTAAAATGCACCAAATAAATTCAAAAGGAGAACTTTACCTCATG